GAAAGAAAGCGAAAGAAAGAAAGCGAAAGAAAGAAAGCGAAAGAAAGAAAGCGAAAGAAAAGAAGCAAGAGCAAAGGATGCTGCTTGGTCCCAGTATTGCAGGGCTGCTCACAGGTGGGCTTTTCTTACTGCTCCTGAAGAGGGACCAGGTACCTAGACTTCGGGTGTTCATAGCAGGAGCAGACATCTGGGGAATTTGGGGTGAAGGGAAATACTTTGTGGAACAAAATGTTGTGTGTGTTCTTCCTTCAAGCAATCTGAGAGGATTCCTGTGAGTACTGCTAAAATGATTGTGATATCTGCTCAGGAAAGTCAAACAGTAGCAAAAATTAATAGGAATGCTGGTGCGGACACCTGTTTGCCCTCCACATCAAGACTCTAATACTTTGAATGCTTGACACTTTGAAAAGTCTGTTTGAACTTTGGACTTTTTAGCATTTTGAGGATGTATGCAATACTCCTTTAAGATCTCAGAATTACTGAGCATATACTCTTATGTTTTTTTCCAATGGCAAAGGATCTGTACTGTTTCTGAAGGGTGAGCTTTTTTGTCTTTGAATTCATCATTGTCAATAAAGTAGTTAAGAGCAGGCAGAGCTGTAGGGCTAAGACTACGTGGTGTCACAGCATATTTGTGTGGGTGGCAATGCACTTGTGTTAGATTTCCCTGAGTATTAATAGGGGATAATGGTAGCCCTTTTTAATTTAATGGAAAAAAATAGTTTTAAAAAATTATCTTTGACCTCTAAATATATTTATATTTATATTTATATTTAAAATTCATTATATTTATATTTAAAATTCATTTCTAAACAAGAAGAAAAAAAAAAAAAAAGGAAAGAACCATCTAATTTGCCCTTAAAAGAAAGTCCATAAATGTTTGATGAAACAATCAAGTTTCCTCTTTCAGAAAACAGGAATGAAGTTCAGCCAACAGCTGGATTATATGAAGCGTGTCTTTATTTACCACTCTTTATTGCTAATCTGGGAATACAGTGAAAGGTGACTGCCATTACCCTGATGCACAATTTCATATAAATTTCAACCATGAATATGCGATCAGTTGTCATATGGCAAAGCAAACCTTGCTATCTCTGCATCGCTGATGATGGAAGGATGTTTACAACCTTCATTATTTCATTTTTAAAGCTCTGTAGAAGGTTACTGGAAGTTGCTGTGGAGAGGAGATGCAAATGGTTTAGTGCAAAGGGTCTATAAAATACGGTGAAAGTTACTTTCTAGAACATGACTCTGTTTATCCGTATAATACAGTACTGTGCTAAATGCTTGTGCACCATACATCTTGTGGCGTATATCTTGCATACAGACAAGCATGCTGTGGAGGAGAAGGTCAATAACTGTTTCCATCTGAAAAGTCCCTAAGGTGAAGAAGCTTCTGCACAAGAGCAAAAGGCAGCTTATATAAGTTTCAGTTGCTGAATTTAGTGATATTTCTGCTGTGTGTGCTCCATTTCAGAGGTCCTCCGTAGGTTCCCTGTCACTTGACCTACTCTTCACAGCTACAGGTTTCTAGGGCAATACAAAATTAGCATTTCTATCTTGACAGCGTTTTGAACAGAGGAAAAATCTTGTAAGATGTGTCACCTTGCCAAGTCAGGCTGTAGTCCCAAAATGTAGACTTTTCTTTTTTCTTTTCTCTTTAGTTTGTGTGCTTTGTTTTGTTTCTCTTGAAATGCTGCCATTCTGTGTAATTTTGAAGTCTGGTTTGGTGTGTAATGTGTTTAATATCCTTCAAAGAACTTGAACTGTGTTCTGCGGCTTGCAGAAGGACAAAATCACATCATCCCTCGCCTTTGAATAGCACCATTATCACTCCGTGTTAATGAAATGATTTTAGTATTGCAACAAATGAGTTTTTCAAATCCATTCCGTATTAAAGGGAATTGGATGGTAATTAGAGCATATTTCAAAAAGAACAAAAGGGGCCATGATATGAGCTTAGCTCTTAAAGCACCTAATCCGGTATTAATTGTGCTCTGGGCACAGCTGCCCTCATACAAAGGGGACTTTGACAGCACAGATCAAAACGTTCGGGGCCTTGAAGGGCACAGGGGCCGCCCCAGCAGGACAGCCGGGTCTGTGAGGGAGCCTCCGCTGCAGCCCGTGTGGGAAGAGCCTCCCGGCCTCGCTGGCAGTGACACCCATAGCCAGGGCCTCCCTCAGGTCGTGGCTACCTTGGGCATCGCTGCAGCCCCAGGCCGTGCCTGGAAGGCTCCAGGGCTGCAATATGGGTTTTGCAGGGGGTTGCACCCCTGAAATGCCAGCACTAAGTCTTGCTCTCAACCTTAAGGTAGTTTCAGCATTTGCTGAACTGTTGCCGCGTGCCTTTCTGTGGGCAGGTTAACATGCTTGCATTGACAGTGTTTTGCCTTCTCCACTGGATTGTGAGGAAAGCCACCCGCAGTTACTGAGCCGTGCTCCAGCACCCCCCCTTGGGTGCAGAGCTCCCGAAACCCGCGGGGACCCGCAGAGCAGCTGGGCTCCGGCCGCAGGGGAATTGGAGTGCGACACGGAGCACCAAGGGCAGAGCCTGCGTCACGGAGCTGGGAATCTGCAGCAGGCAGCAGTGCTGAGGCAGGCTTGCTTTCCCCTCTGCCTTCTCTAAGTTGAGAATGTATTATTGATTACCAATTTCTTTCTTTGCAGCCTTTTCCAGCACTATTGCTATGCTCGAGGCGGGATGCGCCATACTTCCTACACGTGCATCTGTGGCAGGTAAGCTGTGCGCATGCCAGACTTGCAGTTTATTGTTGCTGAATTCCCACTGGATCGATGCAAAAGAGTGAGTTTCAAGCTACTTCCTCTGGAAGAGCAACAGGGAGGTGGCTGGTGCTGTGTCTTAATGAGAGAGCTGGGTTACGCTCGCTGCATGCAGGAGGTGCCGTGACGACTGCTGCTGTTGCCAATATCATGTTTATGCTCACATCTGTGCTGCAATTGGCTTTTTTATTAAACAGCATCACAAAGAAGGGCTTAAGAGCTGTTCTGGGTTGCTCACAAAATGCTCTCTCTGAAATGCACCGTAAGTATTTCACATCATTCTTGAAATTCTTTGCCACTGAGGGTAGGATGTAATTAAACTGATCTTTCTGGAATTTGGAAGAAAAAAGATTGTTTCATCCCTTGCTTGATAAACAGTTGATGTTGGAACTGTTGTATTTTGGAAATTATTTTAAAAAAACTCTGTGTCATTGTAGAAATACCCATTTGTAATGCAGAACTACAGAAGGATAGTGTAGAATACACATTGAAGGACAGTTCTGTACTTTACACAGGAATCAGTCTTATTTTTTCAGTGGAGTAAATCTAGTTAGTAGTATAGGACAGTCAGATGAGGTATATATTTGTATATATGCTCCATTTGTTGCTGTTAGTCACAGTCATTTATCTTGCATTGAATCCAAATAGACTTATGCTAAAAATATTTTTTTAAGGTAATGATGTTAAAGTTATATTGTTTTGACTGCAATAAGGCCAATTAGCATCCTTGCTTCTTCTGCTCTTTATTCAATTGGTTATTTGTAAATGCAGTTTGCCAATTTATATGTAAAATTTGAGTAGGAGCATGAGCAGTTTTATGGCAGACTGTGCATCTAAATTGTCTGCAAAGTTTCCCCATTTAAGTACCATCGTATAACTTGAGAATTAGCATCCCATTGAAATAAGACTTCATCTTTATGGTGTTGTTGTAGACTGAGATGGTAAAATCAGCTGGTTTTGTGTATGATCTTCTTGCAGTCATACAAGTTTCACATTCATTGCAGTGCATTAGGATATGTGCTGCAGGATCTGATTTGGGTACAACAGATGGAGACCATGGGTGTCTTCTCCAGACCTACAGAACCTCTGCTGTGCCGCTCCTTGTGATGCTGCAGGGACACGCTGAGCTTTCCCTATGGATGAAAGCCCCCAGACTGGCACTGCTTGATACAGGGGACCTCCGGGAGCTCAGAACTGGGTCATGACAGGAACTGACTGAGCATCCCACCTCACCCCATCCCACCCCATCCAACCATTCCCACCAGGCTTAGCGGCTGCTTCTGCGTGCTCCGCAGCCCAGCTTTGTCTGCACCCTCTTCTCTGTGGGGCATCGTTTTACCCTGAAACAGCTGGGCGAGGACCAATATTGTATCCTACCAGTATTAATAAAGCTAGAAACAAACCTGATTTAAGGGAAACATCTTTTGGATATGATACAAAGGTTTCTGCAAATAAATTGCTATTTTCTGATGTATGAAATCAACTGTTTTAAGTCAGGTCATAATAAAGTGACTCCAAATAGATCTATTTGACAGATTCAATTAACATCATAATGAAAAGATAATAGGAATTTTATTACAATGAAAAATGTATGCTTTGTAAATATTATTCTTAGCTGCGTTTAACATAAAAAAAAATTGCTTTTGCAATTAGTGATTTGAATAGTTAAGCATTGTTCTATTTGTGCTGAGTTTTGTTGTTTTCCTGATGGTTAAAATTTCAATATTTTGACAGGAGCTTTCCTTTTAACATTGAAGGTTGGATAAAAACTTCCATAGAAGAGAATCATGCTTAAAAAAAAAAAAAAGTTATTCAAGTGATTTTTTTAGGTTGATGACATAGACATATTTCAATGACTAAATTACTGTATTTTGCTCACATTGTCAAACTGATTGCTGAAGATCACTGATTGCTAAAGGCTACTAATGTATTGGTGGGCTTTTTTCTGTCTCAAAATTCCCTTTTTATTTTCCCTGAAGATGTGGCAATGTCTAAAAATGTTTGAATGGTGACATATAATTTGAGGTTTATGAAGCAAATCCTAGATCCGGAAAGCAAGAGTAATCGATACTGTATCTCTGTAAAGAAATGAATCACTTGGCATGCATGTTGAGCACATGCAGTTGTGGCTGTCACTGTGCAGTGCTGCAGTCTTCAGGAGATGGAAAATGAATATTTAGTGCGACCAAATAGGACTTTATGTATTCACATGCATGTATTCACTCTCAAATACATTGAGAATAATAACGTATGTTTGTTAGTATTATGGGTGGTCATATAATTTGATTAGTCCTGTACTGAGCAGTGCTAGCAAACACTCTGAACTTGTAAGTGATTTGAAATGCAAACAGACGTCACATAAATACAACTAAATACAAATAACAGTATTTAATAAATGTACTTGGATGTAATTAGGACTAATCTTCAAGATTTTGACTGCAGAGTAGTGCTCAAATGGGAGTGAATTATTCATTGCAGTGTCTTAGGGCACCAGGTAGCTATTTTCACCAAGAGGCAAGCGAAGGGCAACTCACTTGGTGGTGCTTCCTCCTGCCATCTTCAGCTCTCACCCTGGCAGACTAAACTATGTGCTGGGGACTGAAGCCCTCGCTTTGCTCTTACACACGTGTGTATTTGTATATGCATGTGGTTTTAGTTGTTGATCTATAAGGTCTATAGTCTGAAGTTACTGTATTGCATGATTTGTGTCATTGGGGTGAACTGGCAGTTGTTGGGGACACAACATTCTGAAGTTTCTGAAATTTTCCACTATGCAGTGTTGCAGTCTGTTTCAGCATTCTGAAATTTCCTACTGCTTGCATTCTCTGTGTAGCTTTTCTGCTTCTTTATGCAATTCTTTCAGTAGCAAGCGTGTCTTTGGCACCCAAAGGGGCAAATTGTTAAAGGAATAGAAATAGAGACACAGAAATATTGTGGAGAATTTTTTGTTTTGAGTGCCTGAAGCAGACATCCAAATCCACATGCACAGTGATTTTCAGAAGTGTTTTCAGTGAGGAAGCCAGCCCTGTACCCTGGTGATGGCCTTCTCCTGCAAAACCTATTCCCTGTTGTTGCAGAGAAAAGGAGCAGCTCCCGTGCAAGGGCTCACTTGTTTTGCCAGTGGCTGGGGCATTTAAATCGTTTTGAAGCCCCTTTGAAAGTGTAGCTGAATCATTGTGAGCAGTTTCTGGCCAGCTGTAGCATTGAGCTTGGGGATGTACATCACTTCAGCGAGGCTCCGTGACTTAAAGCTTTTTTCTTGCCTTTGTCCTGGAGCAGTGGTCGGAACAGCCCTGAGAGTGAGGCAGGATTCACATCCCTTGGCAGACACCGGCTGGAGGGCTGTCCACATCCCTGCTTTAGTTCAGGTTGTTGGCACATTGCTGAAGATCTCCCCCTCATCCCCGTGCTTCATGCCGTGCACTGGCTGCTTTCAGCTGGCAGGTGGCCAGCAGAGCTCTCCCAGGCAAGAGCTTCTGCCGAGCTCGGTTGCTGCTGGGCGTTCGGTCCGTAGGACTGGTCCAAGGCCGGCAGCTCCGCCGCCACCGCCGCTCTCAACAGGAACCAGGCCGGGGTTGCGTGGTGTGTCCCTGCCAGGTCTTGAGCAGCAACACCTGCCTTTTGCTCTGGCACAGTCCTGTTCATGCTCCCGAGCCATAGTTTGCATGATGGAGCCTCATAATGCCAAGAAAAATTGCTACTTAACATTTAAATAACAGCGATGAAAACAGATTTTCATGCATCTTCCATAGCAGTTGGTGCTCAACCTTACAGAATTATTTTGTAAACTTAAGAACCTCCACATTGAAATGTGCTAAGGAAATTCCATATCTTTGGATTTGGAACATCTATTGTTGAAAACGTTTGTGCAGTACTTGCATTTGAATATATGGTTTATTTATGTGTCTGGTTTGCCGGGTAACACAGGGTTCCAGCGTATATGTGAACAAGTTATCTGCAAATACACTGGAGTGGAGTCAAGCCCTTTAGCCTCCTGAAAAATTTTGTAAAGTTGATCATAAATACATTCTTATGCTAATTTGCTTCTCATGCTTTACCCCCATTTTTTGAAAGAAATAAAGGATAGTACCTGCAACTGTAATCCTGCTGGCAGCGGTGGTGCTGCTCGCTTGCCTGCGTGCAAGGATTCGAAGCCGTGCGCTCCTCCTGGGGAGGCAGCGCTCAGTGTGATGCCAGATGGCCTTTTTTTTCCACTCATTTGTGCTTTTTCTTTTTTCCCCATAAAACAAAAAGGTTGTGGGTTCAGAGTGCTGATGGTCCCAAGCAGAGGTAGGAGTTGGCGCTGCTGCTGTCCAGCCCACATGAAAGGAGCTGCCGCTGGGAACGCGGTTCCTGCTCTGAGCGCAGCCCGACAGGGAAAACCTTCTCTTCTGATTGCATCTGCTGCCCTGTGTAGTACTTTGCTTTTCTAGCCAAGGAAATTCAAAGAAAAATTATGGCCAGAAGGAATTATTCCACAAGTACCCAAGAGGTAGGAAGGGTTGGAATGAAGCTTGCTTTTGTCTGCCTCTTACAAAATTTTGTGGGACTGTTTTTTTATTTTCTGCAAAACTGAAGAGGTTCTCAAATCAGGCATGTAGAAAATAGAAAGCAGTCAGATGGTAAACCATTTAAAAAATATCTTTAAGTAATTGAATCAATATCACAGGAAAAAAAAAGTCTTGCAGCCTTAATTATGTGTTTTTATTCTTAATTTCATGACTTTTTACTTTGTTGTCCATATAATTAGAAGAAATACAGTTTTCAGCACATCATTCCTAGAACTTTGTTTCCCACTGCCTTATTACACAATCATTCTTGTATACATAGAATATTTAGCAATTAAATGTTATTGCTTTGAAAATATTAACAAAACGCAGCCTTTTAGACTGAAAGGTTTCAGAAATTTAAGAAGACAGTTACTTTCTGCTCCATAGTCATTGTTTAAGGAATTACTGAATCTATGTGAAGAAATGATCAATTAAATATCCAGTTGTCTATAACTACTTCATATATCTTGAAAGTTATCTCTTTTTGGATACAGTGCAGGTGTGTTAATGATTTTTTAAATTGCATTATTAAAAGCATACTATGAAAAATGCATCAGGTGCTACATTCACTTTAGATACGACAAAAGATTCACTGAAATGATCTTCCCATTTCTTTCAGCTAAAATATTAAGCTGTTTCTCCACCACAATCAAAGAATCAAATTTGAGCAGAAAGACCGACCCAGTTTTGCTAAAAGGTTAGATCTGGATCGACAAGTCAGCTTGAGGGATCAGCAAGACACCACAGTATCCGTGTTCTAACATGCATTTTTGGAAATGGTTTAATGCTTTTAGCCTTTTGAAGAATAAAAGGGAGAGCCATCTATCTGAGGGGAATAATAAAAGGAAAATCAGCAGAGCTTGAAATCTTTGCCTGTCTTTTAACTGACGTTTGATAAAATGAGAGGGATACCAGTAGACAAGAGAAGATGCTGAGACCAAAGACAGGTCACTGAATGGATCACAGAGTTTCAGAAGTGTTGAACGAGGGTCCGTTCTTTTTGGGGAAAGCTTTCCCATTCCTGTGAATCAGCAGTTCAGTCTGAACACCTTCCAGGAATTGAAGTCTTTCCTTTATAGTGTGAGGATTAATAGGCTTTTTTTGCACTTTAAGTGGTAAAAATAAAGTGATAGTTACTGTGTCTGACATTACTGCTGACATTATACACCAGGTATGCTAGGGGAACAGGCGAATTTTTTAGACCTAGGAACTCCTGGAGCCTTTCAAACATCATATTTTACTCTGATGATTTTTTTTTAATACTTTGTAATATTTAGCCTCAAACATGAAAATATATCAGTAATTTAAAAAAGATGCCTAAAAGGAAGTAAATGGGTATAGGTTGAAAAATGACTCTTGTCTCATTGCTTCTCTTAACGCTGCTATCAATTCGACAAGTGTTTTTGTCAGCAGTGATACCCGTCCGCAGAAAGGCAGCACCAGCACCTTGCAGCCAGAGCTGCAAAATGCCCGGCCGGTCGGTGGCCGCTCCTGCTGCCCGAGGTGCCCAATGTGCCATATCCACTGGATCTGAGGAAGGCTCTGTGGCTGCTTTCACAGGCTGCCAGATTTCATGTTCAATGTATCAGTGCCCTAGTGATTATTTCACCACTTGTGATATTCCTTTACATGTCGTGGGCCTTCATGTTCCCTTTCTGCTAATTCTGCTGTGTTTTCTTTTCACCTCCAGTGGGGAGAACTCCTCTGTTTTACACTATGGCCATGCTGGAGCCCCGAATGACAGGACTATTGAAGATGGAGACTTGTGGTAAGTAAACAGACTTTTTTTGACATTTTTCTTTGTATGACTACTAAATTTTAGTTTCTGCATTGTATCTACTTTTGAACTTAGTAAGACAATAGCTGTATAAAGAAAGAAGTCTAAGTCTATAAAACAATCTAATCCTGCTGTCACCTAGACATTTCCTCCAAAGGTCCTGTATATTTCCAGTTGACAGGGAAAAAGAGATTGTTTTCAAACACTGTGTGTAGAGCACCAATCTGCCCTTGCCCCTTGCATTGGCTGATGCTGCACAGTCACACTTTGCTCCACACCATTTTGTGTGTGTTCTTCCAAAGTAGAGGGGCCTAGAAGTTATAAAAAAGTGTAGCTTCATGTATGCAGCAAAAATATTAAAAAATATAAAATATAAAAAATATAAATATAAAAAAAAAAAAAAAAGTAGTATATTTAAAAATATACTACTTTTCAAACTTAACAAAAAAAATTGTATTGAAAATATTCTTGAGCTAACTTGCTGTAGCAGAACACAGATTGTCATGAGGAACTTCCTGGGTGACTTTGTTGTGTGCTTTTGCAAATTTCTGATTGAAGTGTGGTGCATGTGTGTATCTGTGTGTTCATATGTATGTTTGTGTGTATGTGTACAGAAGAGATTTATTAAAATGAGCTTGATAATTTATATGTATGTACTAGAGCTTATATTTTTGACTCTCCATTAAGCTTTTTAATAGCTGCTGGGAGCCCTCTGTTGGATAATCTTAGGAAGCCGTGAAAATAAGAAAAAATGTCCTTCTGTAAAAAAGTAGTAGAAGTCTCTAAAGGGTTATTTCTGCTTCTGCCAGTATTATGATATAAATTTAACTTAACAAGTCATATACTGGTACCTAATAGAATCAGAAGATAGAGTACTTGGTGTGATTTTTATTGGATTATTCAGTAGAGTTTCATGTGTTTTTCTAGAGATTACCTAGTTGATATGAATAAGATACATGTTTTCTACAGAAATGTGCTGTTCAGTTCTGTTATGTATTAAACAGCGCACTGAAATGTGTGCTAGTAAATAAATCAACAAAGCACCTGAATATTAGAAAGCTAAATCTGGGAGAGCCAGCTTTACTTCTTTGAAACAGCCAAATGCATGCTTTATTTACTATTTGAACAATGTTTGTTATAAGGATTTGATGGCATCAGCAGGAAATTGTAGGCAAAAATACAGTATTGCATTTTTGCTCCTTTGAGACTGTTGCTCTGACTTTTTTCAGAACTGTGGCTCATTTAGAACAGCCTGATTTTATGATCATCTTTGAAAACTAATCTACATTAAATGGGTTTATTGCTTCTGTAAGAAACTACTATGGCATTATATCTCTGCTATTTCCTCATAAACCACATTTTTACAGGTACAGGTTCTGTGCTAAAATATCTCAGTGCAACACAAGGACTCTAAAGAGACTTTCTGACACTTCTTGCTAAGTGGATTGTCTTGCTAAGCAGGACTGTCACTTTCAGTTTGTTAAATATTGAAGACAAAATAGCAAGCTAGCACACAGCTTTATGATTGACGTAAGAGGTAGCCAATCTTTTTAAAGGGAAGATGAACTTAAGATATGTGCAAAGCACTTAACTGATATTAAATGTAAATATTGCAATTACAGGTAAATTATTTAGGTAAATAAATCACGTACTCTTATATATGTGTGGTGAACATGTAAATCGGTAATGGACAATATTGTCTAAGGGAACCTTCTAAGCAAACATCTGTTCTCTTTGTGACCAAAAGAGCCACACCAATGGGTTGGGAGGCTGACCACCCTTGTGAATCATGACTCTGGGCACCCTGCAATCTCATTTGCCCTTACTTTTAAATAAAATTGTCTACTCAAAGTGTTACAAATGGTTAGTACTTATGCAGTGTATGGTGAGGACTACATAATGCCAAATAGCTACAAATACTGACTTTCTTTGGTCTTCTTAAATGCATGACAGCTTGGATAGAAATGGAGTGTGAGACATTTGTCATGCTGTCTCAAGGATTTTCGTTATGCAATTTGTGCAAAGATTCCTGCTGTTTCTGGCAGGGCTCTACCTGCACATGTGCTTTAGAAAGGGAGTCATAGGAAGAAGTACTGGTCAGAGTTTGTAATCCCCCATCAGAAAGAAACTCCGTCCGATTCGCGAGGCTTTTTGAAGCTCCTCCGCCTCCCTGCTCAGTTTGGGTACCCACAGATGTTTCAAAGCTTAATGGGCAGACAAAGAAATGGAAAGTTATTCCTCAGGAAAGAAAAATCAAGCAGCAGAGATTTGGCTCCCTGCTATGCCCAAATCAAGCACAGAGGGCTGCTGGTTAGCAGATGGCACCCGCTCCGTTATCGGTTCTTGTTGGGTGAGTTTTCTGTGATCTCCCCTTCTGCAGCAGTGCTGATTTTGTTCAAACTGGAGAAAGAGCCGTGTTCAGCGGTAAAAAGCCCCTAAGGGACGCAGCAATCTCTGCATTCAGCTCTTCTCAAAGTGATCTCTGAGCTTGGCCAGACCCTGGGAAGTATCTTCAGAGAAGAGCTCGGTCAAAGCTGGCGTGTTTCTCTGAGCAGCTTTGGTCTCAGCACAGCAGCGCCTGCCTTCCAAAAATCTGTTTTTCTCCAAAATGAAGCAAACAAATTGTGCCGAGTCCTCCGCAGCTCTGGGCACATCACAGGGCAAACGAGAGCTCCACGGACAAGAGAAAACCGGTGCCAAGGGCAGTAGGTGCAGCGGGGGGAACGGGGCAAGGGCGGCAGCGCCACTTTCACCTTTTTAGTCAGGGCTTTTTCTGAGGCATCGTCAGCGGTGCAGAGGCAGAAACGGGCTGAGGTTGCAATGAGGGGGTGTTAGGAAAGCGGAGGTTCTCTGTGTGTGATTTGGCAGGCGGCGGGTGCCGGGCCCGGCCGGGCCGCCCAGCGCCCTTGGAGCCGCACGGACGGCGCCGGGAGGCGATGGGATCATTGCGATTGATCCGCGGGGCTCCCACGACGTCGGGCGCATCGAAAACAATTTTATGGTCATAAAACAAAGATTGATTCTTCATGATGAAGCTCGTGCTTAAATAATAGAGATGTGTGAAAATAAGCCTGACCTCTAACACCACTGAAACAGATATGGCTGTTACTGTTAGAAGTGATGCAGTCTGCCCCAGCTCTCAGGTGCTTTTAGTATTTTGAAAGGTCCTGGTGAGTCCGGAGATGGACAAAGCCGTGGCCGATGCGCGGTGCAGCGCTGGATGGAGCTGCTCCATGGTGTCATCCATTGAGAGGACGTGTGTGGAATCACAAATAGCGGGAGCATCAGCTGCCTGTGAAGTGCAGCAGCCCCCAGAGAGACAGCATTAACCTTGTATTCACAGAGAGCCTATCTATTATTTATAAAATAAACTAACTTCAGCAGCCTAAACCGAAGCAGTGAGGATTTTCAGGTGATGTCTTTCATTTTATCTAACAGTTGCTTCTACCACTTGTAGTCTTTAGCCTGCAGATTTTTAATGAGAGCCCTTTAAAGCACATGGAGTGGCTGCAAGTGCAGGAGCCCTCCTGGCCCCGCGCTCTGTTGTGGTAGCTGGGCCCTGCTGCTCCTGGCAGCAAAACAAGGTTTGCTTGCAAATAACTTCATTGTGTTCAGGAACCAGAATTTAGGCGCTAGAGAAATTTAATCAGTGCCACAGAATCAAATGCATCCTATCATGAAAGTATAATCTTTGCATAATGTACTATTTTAAATACGGCCTGACAGTATGAAAAGGTGACTATTTGCTTAGTCAAATTGCAGTTAATAGAGTCAGGCAATATGGAAAACAATGTGGTGTTGCAAAGAGACTTTACTGGAAAAATTCAACTCTTCCCCCCCCCTATTTTCTAATGCCAATTTAAAGCAGCAGAGTAATATTAACAGCAGAGGGCACTAAAATAAATGCTGTCTGGAAGGAAATGATTGTCTCACATTTCGATGCTGGTAATGAGCTGTATTTGCAAAAGGCAACTTGCTTGAGAGGCAAAGCATCCATCCATCCAAGGGATGTATGTATATAAGGTCCAAATGTATTTAACTTGTATTCCAATTATATTCTAAAATGTAGTTTCCTTTCTTCTGCATAGCACCTATATGAGTCTTCCAATAGTTTTTATTTATTTATTTTTATTTAATTATAGTTTCTAGTGCTCTCATAACATCTGTTTTAACTGTGAGGGTACCTTCTCTTATCATTTCAGAGGCTTTGATTGTGGGAAATTTTCGTTGAATGCAAGAATAGGTTCTGCATGAAGCAAAGAGGAAAGATGCCCAGTTCTCCCAGCTTTTTATTTTGTAATTTCTCAAAAGGTGAAGGGCAGTTTTCAGGTTTCTTGGAGTTGGTCACTCCAGGGCCTGTGAGGAATCATTCGGAAGGAAGTTACTTGTTGCAAGAACTGCTTAAAACTCGTTACTTTTTTTTTCATAAAGGCTAAGCCTTATGAAAGTTTTACCAACTAATCAGTTAGTTTTACCAACTAATCACTTAGTTTTACCAACTAATCACTTAGTTGGTAAAAATGTAAGTGACTTTACTGTGTTTGTTTATCTAAAAGAATAGCATATGGTGTTCCCCTATCAAAAGATTCATCATTTTCTATGCACGTTATGAACATATACCTATTATTTGCAAACAGTATGCATAATTGCAAACATACTGCATTGAAACTAGAAGCATGCTTTGATTTTATACAATATTATTTTTAGAAAAATATTCCCCTTTTTGCAGGAATGAGAAACAGGCATATAGTATAAAAGAATTTCTCATGAATATTGAGTAGCTATCATCTAAGTCAAATATTTAAAGGATTTTCAAATGGTCAAGTAAAAGACTTAGATGAGCTTGAAAAAAAGGGTACTACAAAATCATAAGTTTGCTATGACCCCCTTTCGAAGACATTTGGGAAAATTCACTTTTTTTTTTTCTTTCAAGTCAAACTTTTATGGTGCTGATGCCAGCCTATTGGCGTTAGTGCAAGCTACCTTTGTCC